TGTATGTATGTATGTATGTATGATGTCAAACTCCCACCTATATACAAAGATCACCTCACCAAGACCGTACAACTGATCGAGGAAAGCCAGACAAGACCCGAACGCCCAAACACACAGGCAACGATTCGATGTCTGCCTGGCAAACCCGTCGCAAAACACAGCATCAAGAGGAGGGCCCACTAATTTCTGTGAAGGTCAGAAGTGGCAATGATCAGGAAACATCCGACATCTTGAAGTACTCAGAGTAGAAAGAAAGCCAAAAGACTAGGTGTGCATGGCGTCAGAATTGCTTACTCAGAAAAAGGAGCAAAGCCACAAAAGTCCAACTCTAAGAAAATCCTAAAACCGTTTATCAACACCCCTGAAAGCGATCCGTGTCGTAAACACGCAAGACTCCATCAATCCTGAACCCGGAAGCCCAAACTCAGACCGTAAAAGATCCCCTTACAGGAACCCTCTAAGAGAAGCCTTCAAGGAGCCCTGAACCCTAAACCAAAACACAGGAAACCAAAAACATGAACCCTAAGCCCTTAAAGAAGCCCTGACGGGATCCCTTGAATTTGATCCCGAGCCGCGGAGATCAGCAGCTGCTACAAGGGTCTGCTCGCTGCGGCGGCGGAGCTGTTGCGTCAGCTGGCCTTGGGTTGCTTTAGGATTTAAGGTTCAGGGTTTTGGGTGCTTCCCGGCTCCACGCTGATTCTTAATGGTGTTGCATTTTTATGCTGGTAATCGTTCTGTAAATTCCCGAACCTGGTTCTATAATTACAATGGTTTGGGGCCCACATTTTCTTTGCATAACTCCTGCATTTGCTCGATATCACCCCGGGTGAATCACCCCGGGTTTCTCGCTGTGCTTGACCTATTGATGTGGCTTTACGACCCAGCGCTCGGGCACTGCAGCTGCGCAGCGCCGGCCTCCAGCCCGGTTGCTCAGAGCTGCACAGATCTGAGCTGCCCTCACGGCAGGAGGCGTTCAGTACCAATGACTGCAAGAACCTTGCTGCAGTCCTCAGCATTCAACTGGCCCCCTTTGCCGCCTTTGGTTTGCCCTCGCCGTTGGTGAGAAAGTTGCTCTCGTCCTCGGCTGCCTCTTCGATTTGAACTCGAATCTCTCGGGCCTGGTTTGGGCACGTTGTAGTGGGACCTCGGACGGCTGCCGGGCTTCCATTGCCATCTCAACAGCGGCTGCTGAATCGTGCATACAGCCACTCGATGGAAAGCCGCACAAGGGGCATATCAACGACATGTTATGCCCTTACTGCCAGCGGCAGCAGGAAGTAGCGGCAAAAACCGGGCCGGCTTGGGGCTTGGGTTTGGGGGGTCGCGATTTCTACATTAAGAAGCTGCAGCTTTGAGTTTGCCCTGGATGGCCCGAAAAGCCGAACACCAGCGGCGGCGGTCCCAAATGCTTTGCTCTTGCTGGGCTTTCGGTACATGAGCGCACAGATATTTGCGCAGCGAGATGAAATCTTGGTGTTGGGGTTTAGGCTGTCCCTAAACCCTAAACCCTAAACCCTAAACCCTAAACCCTAAACCCTAAACCGCAGGTTGGGTTTATTTTCGGGGGAACCATAGGAAGCCTGCAGTCATAGGTGCACAATGTACGCACAACCCTTTATGATATGAAACCCTATAAAACCTTTCAAACTTGCTGTGAAACCCTATAACAACCTTCCAGTGCTTTGTTCAACCCTTTGAAACCCGGTCATGGAACCCTATACCTGCAACAAAAACATCAAAACGCAAGGCTCCGCCGACTGGGGCCCACCCTAAATATCCTGGTGGAGTTCTATTAATAGTCCCTAAACCCTAAACCCTAAACCCTAAAACCCTAAACCCTCGACCCTAAACCCTAGAGCCTTGATCTGCAGCCAAAACCCGAAGGCCCTCATTATGAGGGACTCAGAGTTTCGGATTCAGGGTTTGGGGCTTGGGGTTGAGGGGTTTATGGAGTTAGACCCCAAAAGACCAGCCTTGTTCTGGTTTCGGGGACCTAATTCCATAATGGTAGTACGGATGGACCCTCTGGGTATCAAACCTAATCACCAAACCCAAATCTCCTCCAAAACCTTAAACCCTAAACCCTAAAACCCTAAAACCCTAAAACCCTAAACCCTAAACCCCTAAACCCTAAACCCTAAACCCGAAAATGCAAACGTTACAAGCCCTTAGGGTTGAAACTTTAAACCTTAAATTTCCCACAAAGCCTTGTAACCATCCTGAACCGCTACCAACCCTGAATGTTGTGCAAAAAGCCTGGAATAGCCCGAACCCACAGACCCCATCTCCATCAATTCAGGCATACTCCGGGATGGTTTAAAACTACTCCTCTATGAATGGTTTCGAATTCCTCAACCCGGAACCCCCTTATAAGCCCCAATAACCCCTATGACAATTGCATAAAATTACCGAAATTATGGATCCTTTACAAAAACTGGCAAATCCCTGTGAAATCTGAGCAAAACCCCCCCTCAACCCCAAACCTCTCAACCCTGAGCCTTAAGCTAAACGCCCAAGCCGTGGCCCTCAAGCCAAACACCCTAAACCCTAAACCTTATAGACCCGAAACCCTAAACCTTATAAACCCGAAACCCTAAACCTTATAAACCCTAAACCCTAAACCCTAACCCGCCCAAGTCTGGCGCCTTTCTGCCACGCCAGGAAGCTCATGGACTGCTGGCGCCTTACTTTAAAAGCTCATGGTGCTTAGAGGCTAGGGGTTTAGGGTTTAGGGTTTAGGGGTTCAGGGTTTATAGGGTTTAGGGTTTATAGGGTTTAGGGTTTATAAGTTTAGGGTTCTATTAGGGTAAGGTCATGGTGCTTAGAGGTGTCTGTTAGGGTTTGGGGTTTTGGGGTTTATAAGTTTAGGGTTCTATCTGATCTCTAGCATCTTGTAAGTAAGGGTTCTGGCGTGAAAAGCTTATGTATGAGACCTAAACCCTACACCCCTGAACCCCTTAACCCCTAGGATCTAAACCCTAAACCCCTGAACCCCTTAACCCCTAGGACCTAAACCCTAAACCCCTGAACCCCTGAACCCCTTAACCCCTAAACCCTACACCCCTGAACCCCTTAACCCCTAAACCCTAAACCCCTGAACCCCTTAACCCCTGAACCCCTAAACCCCTAAACCCTAAACCCCTAAAGCCCTGAACCCCTGAACCCCCAAACCCCTAAACCCTAAACCCCTGAACCCCTTAACCCCTAAACCCCTAAACCCCAAAACCCTAAACCCCTTAACCCCTAAACCCCTAAACCCCAAAACCCTAAACCCCTAAAACCCTAAAACCCTAAACTGACAAGAATAGCTTGAGATTTCCCCTGGG